ATGTCCTTTGGTTCAGAGAATATAATTCAGGAAGGAAATAAAGTGAAATCTGCCAGCCTGTCTTGTCAAAACCAGACAACAGGACCTGTTATGTTTGTTTCCCACACCAGGGATATTACTAATGCTCACTCCAAATTACAACTGATGGCCAGCGGAAAGGTCACCAGCATGAGCTAAATGCTTCTCCCTCACAGTGCTGTGATCATCTTAATAGTAAACAGTTGCCAAGAAAGCCATCCCTAAAAGTACAGTCTCCCCAGATGCGGGAAAACCGTTCTCATGTCATGATTAACGGCTTCCTAGAAGCAGTGCAGCTAATGCTCAAGCCAGTGTAAATTGCTTTCACCTCCCTCTTTCCCCACAACTCCATCCACTTCATAAGAAAAGCTTATCTGTTACACTGGCCAGTAAGTAATTCGTGAAGATGCTTCCAGAATTGTCATCCCTTCAAGAGTGGTGGCCATGGAGAAGCAAACTGGAGTGACCACCTGAAGACAGCCAGACCCTTAGGAACACTAGCCATGTCCATGAAACATGGATTCCCTAAATAGAAACCTGAGGAGATGGAAGAAAAACCTACAGCCTTGACTGCAGATCTCCACATTGAACCACTTAATCTTTCCACTGGTGTTACCTGGCACCACAACTGAAGCCCAGGCTTAGCACCATGGATCTAGAAGCCCTGTAGCACCTGGTCTCCCTCACCATCCTCATTTAACATTCTAGTCTTCGGGGCGCCTGGGTGGCTCATTCGGTTGAGTGTCCGACTTTGGCTCAGGTCATGAGCTCATGGTTCATGGGTTCGAGCCCCACATCGGGCTCGGTACTGACAGCACGGAGCCCACTTGGGATTGTCTGTCCCTCTCTCACTCTCTCATGTAAATAAACATTAAGATAAAAAAAAATTTTTTTTTAATTCTAATCTTCACTCAGTTTGACCCTAACAACTTCCATTCTCCCACAAGCTGGCCCTATCCTCCCAAAGGACTTTTACACCTGCCAGTCACCAGGTTCCCAGCCCCACATGCCCTTATCCTTCAGGCCCGGGCTCAGAAAGGCTTTCTCTGGCTTTCTCTCCAAAATGCTCCCTCCTCCCCAGCTGTGAGGTCACCATTCTGTTTACTCCTTTGCATCACTATTTACAATCTACAACTATTTGATCAAGCTACCTTTCACTTGTTAATTATCATGCCCTTACCCAAAGCCAGAGTCTAAGCTCTATGAGAGCAAAAGCCTTTTCCATTTTGGTTTTTTTTTCCATTTTTCCATTTTGCTACCATTGGCAGCAGTGTCCAGCACGGAGTAGGAACTCAGCAAATGTTTCAGAGATGAATGAAGGTGCTCTAAGCACCTGCTATCTAGCTGCGTAATTTGAGGTGGGACACTGCACCTACGCAAACTCCAGTGTCCTCCTCTGTGACGCACCACTAGGATAGTCTCCTTACATATTGCAGGGGGAAACAAGACACTGAGCCAACAACTAAACTCCTAATTACAAGAGGATTTTTTTTTAATTTTTTTTAACGTTTATTTATTTTTGAGACAGAGAGAGACAGAGCATGAACGGGGGAGGGTCAGAGAGAGAGGGAGACACAGAATGTGAAAGAGGCTCCAGGCAGTCAGCACAGAGCCCAACGTGGGGCTCGAACTCACAGACCGTGAGATCGTGACCTGAGCCGAAGTCGGACGCTTAACCGACTGAGCCACCCAGGCGCCCCAAGAGGATTTTTAAAAACCATAATTTCATCAACATACAGAAATAATCTGTGGACATCTTGATTAATTTCATCAAGAAATTATAGAAAAAAGTAGAAATGTGTGAGAACGTGATGTGTGAAAAGTACACGTCCCTTCTCCCTCACACATATGTTACAAAAAAGGATGGACATACTAACCACAAATATGTAAACATACACAGGTAACAACTAAACATGAAAAGAGAACAGTGCAATTATGCAGAACTCTCCCAGGATAAAAAAATTTTAAGGAATTAAATACTTTGGCACAACAAAAGTTCAATTAAATGATTAAATGTTTTAAAATAGCTTTCTTGTAAAAAAAAAAAAAAGTTCGAAACTAAAAATGAAGCACACAACTGGGAAACAAAATCACCATTTACTGAACAAGTCTTATGTGTTAGCACTGAGCTATATTAAGGCATACGTTATGTATATTCATACTTAACCTTCCAACAAAGGTATTATTGTTCATATTCTACAGAAGAAAAACTAGGCTGCTTATTCCACCTCCTAAAATGCTTCCTTCCAATGTCACCTTCTTAATGAGGCCTTCCCTGGTCAACCTACCTAAACGTGCAAACCTACCCTCTGTCCTGAATTCCTCATTCATCTTCACTGCCTCAATATTCTGCATGACACATATCACCAATACTGTGTAACTTACTTATTTCCTATCTCCCCTTATGAAAATATAAGTTCTAGGGGCGCCTGGATAGCTCAGTCGGTTGTGTGTCTGACTCTTGATTTGGGCTCAGGTCATGATTCTGGGAACGTGGGATCAAGCCCTGCATTGAGCTCAGTACTGAGTGTGGAACTTGCTTAATATTCATTCATTCATTCATTCATTCATTCATTCTCTCTGTCTCCCCCTTCCCCTCTCCCCTGCTTGTGCACACTTGCTCATGCACACTCTCTAAAAATAAAATAAATCTTTATAAAAAACAGAACTTCTGCAGGCAGGTGTTTTTTTTTTTTCTTCCTCCGTTCTCTTCTGAAACGCCAGCACCCAGTAGAGGACCTGACACAAAGTAGATACTAACAAATATTTGATGAATGAATAATGAATGAATGAAAGTACAGCTGAATGCACTGGTGAATTTCTAGGAGTTAGTTCTGAAAGTCTATTCAACTCAAAGCCTTTCTGTGTCTTTATACAAGAATTACTGAGTACAAATATATATATTGTATAGAAGTTAATCAGGAAAGAAAATGAAATTAGTAAGACTGGTGAAAGGAACTAGGGAATGAATGCGAGACAGAACATAGGTCCGGAAAAAGACAATGCCATTTTTTTAAGATGTAAGAGGTGCATGAAGTGTGGTTATTATACTTTTTTTTAACTTATTGTAGAGTATGATGACACAGGGTCTTAATGGCTTTGAACATGGGAGGGCAGACAACTAGAGCTTAGCTGCGTGAGGAACTGAGCCTGAGCTAAGGCAGGTTTCCTCCAAGGAGGTCTCTTGAGTTCAAAAGCTATATGAGCAAGAAGGCTAAAAGCCAATCAGAAAACCTCTGAAGGGGCACCTGGGGTGGCAGAGTTGGTTAAGCATCTGACTTTGGGTCACGTCATGATCTCACGGTTCGTGAATTTGAACCCCTCTTCGGGTAAGCTCGAGCCCCACTTTCAGCTCTACATTCTCTCTCCCACTCTCTCTGCCCTTTGCCCACTTGTACTGTCAAGGAAAGAAAAAGGAAAGGAAAAGGAAAAGGAAAAGGAAAAGGAAAAGGAAAAGGAAAAGGAAAAGGAAAAGGAAAAGGAAAAGGAAAGGGAAAGGGAAAGGGAAAGGGAAAGGAAAGGGAAAAGGAAAGGGAAAGGGAAAGGGAAAGGGAAAGGGAAAGGGAAAGGGAAAGGAAAGGAAAGGAAAGGAAAGGAAAGGAAAAGGAAAAGGAAAAGGAAAAGGAAAAGGAAAAGGAAAAGGAAAAGGAAAAGGAAAAGGAAAAGGAAAAGGAAAGGAAAAAAGAAAACCTCTGAAAAGCTAAGATTTTAGCAGCCCTGAAGTACTGAGGAGATAGAACTGGAGTTCAGGTCCCACCAAGAAGAGGGGACAGGTAAAAACATTCCAGACTTGTGTGAAATACCTGGAAGGCTAGGTCTTAGGAGCAAAGGCAAACCAGACAGAGTCTGAACCTTACCAGAACCATACCTCTGCCACATCTCAGAGATCATCCACTCCCCACTTCCCCCCCCCCCCAACACACACACATACACACCATACTTATCAGAAAAAAGAATGAGTCCCCCTGGACAACGATAACATCACCTGAAGCCTTTTGTAGCTGTCCTACATAATGTTGGGCAATTACCTTATGGTATGATGTGAGAGACAAACAAGTAACTACAACAAGAGAAAAGATCAAACAATAGAAACACATCCAAAGTTGATCTAGATATTAGAATTAACTGTTTAAAGTCCTTATAAGCTGTGATTAATATGTTCAAGAAATAGAGAAAAAGATGGCATTTACACATTTTTTTATGTTTATGTATTTATTTTGAGAGGGGGGTGAGGGGCAGACAGAGAGACAACGGAGAATCTCAACCAGGCTCCTCACTATCAGCACAGAGCCCAACTTGGGGCTTGAACCCACGAGCCGTGAGATCATGACCTGAGCCGAAGTCTGACGCTCAACTGATTGAGCCACCCGGGCACCCCTGAAAGATTTTTTAAAGTCTGTATTTGGGGCGCCTGGGTGGCTTGGTCGGTTAAGCATCCAACTTCGGCTCAGGTCATGATCTCGCGGTCCGTGAGTTCGAGCCCTGTGTCAGGCTCTGTGCTGACTGCTCAGAGCCTGGAGCCTGTTTCAGATTCTGTGTCTCCCTCTCTCTCTGCCCCTCCCCTGTTCATGCTGTCTCTCTCTGTCTCAAAAATAAATAAACGTTAAAAAAAAAATTAAAAAAAAAAAAGTCTGTATTTGTGGTCCTGATTTTTGGCAAGCATTTTAAAAGGTCTGCTAATAATATCTGAAAGGCTAACACACTCTGCACAATGTTACTCTGTGCACTACCTTTAAAGTGGGCAAAGTAATTAAACCTGGGTTTGGCTTCTGAAAAAGGCACAGGCACGCCATGCCCTTTCCAGGCATGCCATGCCCTTCCCAGGCATATGTAACCATCACCTTTCAGAACAGTGAGAACCTACCACATTTCCAGAAATCATCTAAGACTAAAATTCTGGAAACATAGTTTCTCCAACAAGGACTTAGAGAAAGTTCTTCAAGCAACAAAAAACTGGTAGCCTTTTAAAAAATAATGCTTACCTTTGAATATTTTTGTAACTCAGCATCATCTGCAATCTGGGTATCCAGAGTCGCAACCTAAATTTACAAGAAAAAAAAAATCCAGTATCTGTAAAAGCATAACTTTATTTCTTCTTAGGTTTTCTGAAAATAATCTATAAACCCTATATATTGATAACACCAACGGATCTACATTCTCATCTTTTTTTGATATTTCTGAAATCCGTAAGTATAGCACATAATGTAGAATTTCAGCGAATATTCCCTGTTCTGTTGTTACTGTTTTCTACAGCAATCCTTCCCCCTCCCCCACCCCCCCACCAAATTACTCAGAAGTTGAACCAGAAGGGGATGGGCAAAAACATACACTATTTTTAAAAAGCCATGCCCCCTAAAATTTTAATATAATGTTCTGTTAGAAGGAGTCCATAAAAATTTTACTCTTTTCACAAAGCCAAGAGTTATCGTCATTTTTGTTTTTAAATCCAGGCCTTAAAACAAAGATTGCAAGGTCAGTAAAGTAAGATGTGTTTGGAAAAATTGAAGCATCTGACTTTCTACAGAAAAGCTCTACCATTTCCCTAGGAGACTTGGCTGGCAAGGACACAAACAGAAAGACCTGGCCTGGTGAGAGGCTCATGGAATAGTTAAAGCTTTCAACCCTGGCCTAAAACTATTGTTCTAAGCTCCAGTGGTGGAAATCCACAGAAGTAAATTGCCAGCAAGCAAAATACTTTACTGATGATTTGCATCTGTGAGTTGTTAATAAAATATGGTACATATGGAGGGAGGAGTAAGTTAAACAATGATCCAACTTAAAGCTTCTAGAAGTACTGCACTTCACAGAAGTAGATTCTAGAAGAAAAATGAAGTAAGGAACCCTGGAGTACATGCATATGTGCATGCATTTTTCATCTTGCCTGGTTTCTCCTTTCTTCTTCTCATCCCTCAAAACAGCAAGAACCCTTAATGAATAAGCTGTCACTTTAAATTCCCAGTCTCAAAGTATGTCTCCCCTCTCTACCTAATCTGTTATGACCTCACTGTATGATAAATGAAATTTGGAAATACAGTTATAAGGGCAAAGTAAAATTTTAACAAAAAAGAGCCCATGACAAAACTGGCCATTCATAAATACTCAGACACCAAATTACTTTGAATATCAAACCACTAAGAATAGTAGAAAAGGTTATTGGCTAAGGTGATAGATAGCCTAATGACAAAACAGCATTTGAAATCTATGAAGTAAAGAAGCAGGCGTTCATAACAACTAACATGCAAGTACAAAATTAGCAAGAATAGAGCACTGAATGTTTTAACTCATCTTAAAAACACTAGAAATTTTCTGACACTAGATAGTGGTTGTATGTTCTGAACCAAGAAGAGAAAAAAATTCTCCAACCAGCCAACGAGTGCTAATGATAAACATATTTAAGAAAACATGAATGACAATAGAAATTTAATAGAATATTTTATTACTAATGCATTTAGTGAACACGGTAGAGGCTTTTCTAAGCACAGCTTTCTGCTTTCATGTGGATTCATAGGGGGGAATGTAATCAATCCCTTACTCAATGAATCTAATAACAGGTGAAAGAAAGTCTAATGGACCACTGGCACTATAAACTTCTGCCTAACCTAAATTACTTCCTGTTCTCCCTAATCCATTTGATAATCATTCTTTCATTTTTCTCATAAAACTGTAAGATTCTTTGTGAAACATAGGACTAATATCCACAGCCCTTTCAGTGTACAATAAAACAAACAGATCATAAAAGCAATCATAAAAATGCCAGCAATTTTAAGCAGCTGATATAGGTTATAAATTTAAAGGCAAGCTTTCTAAGATTCTTCTGCCTACTGTTGACTTAAATGTTTTCAACATGATCTGAGTGTCTGCTAATTGTAACTGAAACTTGCATGCAGTCCTTAATTGTTCTTATAGCTTAAAATGCTAAAAGAGGGGGGAAAAGATCAATTGATCTGCTAGGGAAGAAAGGCAGGAGGTAAAAAACAAAGGCAAGCTGGCTATTCTTGGGCTCTCCCATCTCTTTGAACTGCAGTGTCAGGAGCTTAACATGAAATGAGATATGAGTGTTCTTTATTGCAACATTTTAACATACCATTACTTCATAATCTGGACCCAAAAGGTTTTCCCACCTAGATTTCAGCTCATTTTCTAGAGAGTCAGGAACATTTTCTGGATTAAAAAAAAAAAAAAAAAAAAAAAAAAAAAGAATATTGAAGCTACAGTGAGCCAAACACACTTAACTACTAAATTCTTCAATAACCACACAGTTCCAGTAAGTAAAAGGGAAACGAATGAAAAGGAAAATGCATCAACTTGGGTCTACCAGGTAAAGAAAATCAGAGGTGACTTATAACACTAATGTAAAATGTAAGGCCGATTGTGACCGAATTATGATGGGACTTTTTTGTTAAGAACTATTTTCAAGGGAAAAGGAAATGATGACTTAGAAATGAAATTTGAAATATATGCACTTTAGATGTAAACATCCTGCCGTTTATAAGAAAAATACATCTGGCTTTGCTTTACAATATGTTAAGGCAAACAAGGACTTAATTTAAATGTTAATCACTTCAAAGTAATACTTTCCACTTACCCATAGAAAAAGTACAGATTTATCAAAAGATATCTTTACTATCAAGTGGACATATCAACACAACCCAGTCAGAATTCTCACTTGGGCGGATATAAAGGCTTGTCTGGTTTAATTCAACCACGGAGATGCATGAGCTTTAATATAATAGAAACTCTGGCTTTACTTTGGTCTTCTGTGGTTAGTTATACCTTTTTGACTCCTAAGTATAATATTACCTTTTTTGCAAAGGTAAGATAACATTCAAGAACTAAGACAGATTTTAAGTATCTTGCCTCTCCTTCATATGATCTTAGCCAGAAGTTCAGGGCACCGTTCATAGTCTGAATAATGCCTAATGGGTGAAAGTTAAAGTACTGAAAATACAATTTCAACTTATATCCATAGTAGCAGAAAAAGCAAACCTTCACGTTTTTTTCTGTAAGTTAAAGAAAAACTCTCCATTTTATCACAAGATTAAACAAGTCACAGAACACTTCTTCCAAATGCATAACCATCTGTCTAAAATCAAACATAACTTGCAATATCAGCTCTTTCAGTCTTCAGTTCGGACAGCTCATCTTGGGTGCATATAATGCTTAATTACATAATGCAAATCATCAAGTAAAACAGGCTAACCTCAGAATTAAGAAACTAAGACTAACACTAAAGAGCTAAACTCACTACATGTACAAAAGAATATCCATGAAGTAACTCTACCAACTGATACGCTAGGTTACATTAAGGGAATAACTAACCGGAAGTCTTATTAAAAACAAAATATCATTCACGTGGGCTCTGCACTGTGTGTCTATTTACTGCTGTCAACACCTCCATAAGAAATTACATTAAGAGTTCTACCATCTTTGTTAATTTCTTCCGGGCAGCAGTTTCTTATCTGGTAAGCTAATTGGTAAGCTTAAGAACATGATATTTAAAGACATTTCACACACATGTATAAAATAATGATATTTCACCTACAATTCCTTTTAACTTTTTCATCTTTCAGTTGTACAATGGAAGCACAGAGAGTCATTGAGTTTTAAAGCACAGCACAAAGCTAAGTACCAGAGGAAGAAGACTAATTTCAGCAGCCCAATAATCCTGAGCTACACAAAAGGACTTGAAAAACGAATAGTATGGGCACCTCGGTGGCGCAGTCGGTTAAGTGCCCAACTCGATCTTAGCTAGGGTCATAATCTCACAGTTCGTGAGTTCGAGCCCTGCATCAGGCTCTGCGCTGACAGTGTGGAACCTGCTTAGGATTCTCTGCCTGCCCCTCTCTCAGAAATGAATAAATAAACATTAAGAAAATGAAAACTATGATGATCTGAAACATTACTCCAATGGTAATGAAGGGGAGAATATGCCACCCCAAAATATGCCATTCTAGCACATGGAATACTTAGAACTAAAGACAATCAAGACCCAACAGACTTAGGAGAAACTTCTACCTCTCCCTTAACTACCTAAAAGAATTTAGATAGGAGGCCTATACCAGAAAGAGCTATTACCAGAGATAATTATTTTATCTGAAAGACCTATTGTTATGGTAGAGCAAACTTTTAATCACCAAACATTTGCTCTTCTTATCACGCTGCAAATTAGCCTCCTTGTCTTTGAAGCCACAGGCCTCTATCACATTCCTTAATTTAGGATGGCATGTAAGCCTCAATTGCCCAACTTACTCTTGGGTCTCATATTTTTATGGGGCTTCCATACTTATAGAATGTGTTTTTCTCCTCTTAATCTGTCTTATGTCAATTTAATTATTAGACCAAAGAACCTAGAAGGGAAGAAGGGAGAGTTTTTCTGCCCCTACAGCAAACAAGAAAGCTAACTTCTAGCAGTTCAATGACTTTGGTCTTACTCTCAAACTGAAATTAAACATACTCATGAAGAAAAAAATGCAGTGAGATTGATCCAAAAAGAGCAGATAAAAATGTCTAAAGATATTTCTAATTTCAGAACGTATTTGATTTTCATCCAATAGCTCCATGACAATCTATCCGGATACACCTGAATTTAAATAGCAAAGATCAAACTACAATACAATCCACTCGGGTCAAAAAAGAATAAGGTAAATTTCCAAATTATAGGAAAATTTTTAACTTGAATGAGGGGCTACTCCTTCCTTCAGGCCATTCTTTCCTGACACAAGACAAAGCCAAAACTTCTCTGGAAGAGGATGGTGTGAAGTATCCCATTTCATTCAGTTGTCAAGGCTTTCCTGAGCAATGCTGTGCAGGGAATTGTGTGAGACTGTTATTCAAAATGCTTGCAGAACAGTCAACTACGGAGCCAAGTTATCAAAGTACAAAGAGGACAAAGTTGCACATCAATTGAAAAGAAGATTAAAGTATAAATATAAAACAATCTGGCAGTTTGATAAAACATACATATGTATAGATTACAAATTATTATGTTAAAAAACACTGCTATATGTATACAGATACCTAGATATCTATAACTGTACCAACGACAATACATAAGCTAACATATGCAGTAAGCTTGTTAAAATGCTAGCAAGATGAAAAGGGTTAACACATACTAATAAAAATGCATTTAAAATTAATTAAACAGGGGAGGCTGGGTGGCTCAGTTCATTTAGCATCCAACTCTTGATTTCGGCTCAGGTCATGATCTCACAATTTGTGAGATCGAGCCTCTATGCTGACAGCATGAAGCCTGCGTGGGATTCTCTCTCTCCCTCTCTCTCTGCCCCTCTGCTACTTGTGCTCTCAAAACAAAGTTTTAAAAAAATTAATTAAACAAAGATTAAACAACAACGACTGGTCTTCAATTGTCACAAGCGGTAAGATGTTGATATTAAGAATATCCTGTTTCCTATCTCCAAAATGTCTCTAAAATTTCTCGTATTAGCTCTAAAGGGAGAAAACAGTTAACAAATAAGAGAAAGTCAAATTACTTTGATTGTTTTGAATTGAATGCTTTGTGCCTACCTAATTTTTCTAAGGCTTTTAGATTACCCATTCTTTCTTCAGTTTCCTCATCCCCACCATCCAAATTCGTTTCTGTTTCCACTGCTCCAGTTGAATAGAGGGCTGGTATTTCCGATGATTCTATGACAGTTCCTAAAAAAAAAAAAAAAAAAAAAAAAAAAAAAAAAAGAATTACTAGCTTGAATCACTAGCAGCTGAAGACCATATTTAAGGGAGTTCATTCTAGTCCTGTTCTCCCATTTGACCACCTCATTACAAACATCTCAGGTAACTTACATATATGATACTTCATTTAAAGTGTCATGTGTGATAACCGCTCAATTCCTAAAAAAAAAAATAAGGAAGTTCTGGTAGCATTGGAAAGGATAAGAAACCAGGCAATGGGGAAGAAGAGCAAGGCCAAGTCATTCTACAAAAGATACTTATCAACATAGCCTTGGTAAAGAAAAAGAACACTAAGGTCTGTATATACTCTTGCACTTGTGGTGGGTAAGGAGCAGGTTATGCAGAATAAGCCCTTCCCACTGCTCTGGGCTCACCTAAGTTCTGGCATGACACCACCATAAGTTTAAAAAAAAAAAACAACTCTACATAGGTAACTTTATGAATTGGAAGGGAATTGGAGAGAATTCCCCTGGTTGCAGCTAAGGGTTCTCCTCCCTTAGCTAAATTGAGCTGAGTAATAGGATATCCAAAACTTTCAATCTCAAGCATGCAAGTCATTATGTATCTGTTAAACACAAGAAAGGTTGAACAAGAGCCATTTTTGGTCATTTTTAAATGATCACGCATGACTTACAAAGTTTTCTTACCAAAAACATTTAACCTGGATCTAACTAGGGCTTTATATCTAGCTTCTCACAGGAAACACAGTGGATAGAGGAACAAGTTAAATTACACCACAAGGACAATGAAACTCAGAATGTAGTGTTCTGGTGACAAAATGGACAAATCCTTTCACGAAAAGCCTGTGCCATGGAGGTGGAGGCAGGGGTCGGGGATTCTTCTAGATTAAGAAACTGAAGAAACGTAACACAGGAAACCAAAGAAACAACGCATGATTGAATCTTGATGTTATGAGGTTTCTCTTTCAGAGAGTGGGGAGCGGGAAAAGAAGCTACAGAAGACATTTGGGGCAATTAAAAAAATTTAAGTACGTGCTGCACATTGGATATTAGGGACTACTATTAATTTTCTTCATTGTGATAATGATATATTATCATGTAAGACAATATCTTTATTTTTAGAAGCTATAAAGTATGCAGGACTAAAGTGCCATGATGTCTACTACTCACTCTCACAGGGTTCAGGGAAAAGGACAAATAGATGAAACAAATATGGCAAAATGTTAACTGTTGAATCTAAATGGTGGGTCCGTGGGTATTTGTTATATGTTTTTCAATTTTTCTGTATGTTTAAAAATTTTTACAGGGGCACCTGGGTGGCTCAGTAGGTTAAGCATCCAACTTCAGCAGCTCAGGTCATGATCTCACAGTTTGTGAATTCGAGCTCTGCATTGGGCTCTCTGATGTCAGCATAGAGCCCGCTTCAGGTCCTCTGTCTCCCTCTCTCTCTGCCCCTCCCCATCTCATGCTATTTCTCAAAAATAAACATTGAAAAAAATCTACAAAAATTTTTACAATACTGTTGACCCTTGGACAATGTGGAGGTTGGAGGCACTTTCCCATCCCATGCAATTGAAAACCTACATGTAACTTTTGAATGCCCCCCAAAATGTAACTAATAGCCAATTATTGTTGACCAGAAGCCTTACTGACAACATAGTCAATTAACAGAACTTGTTTATTATGTATTATATCGTATTCTAGAGAAAAAGTAAAAGCAACATAGAGAAAGGAAAATGTTATTAAGAAAATATTAAGAAAGAAAAAAAACACATTTATAGAAAATATAGCACAGCACTGTATTGGAAAAAAATCCACATATAAGTGGACCTATACAGTTCAAACCTGTGTTGTTCAAAGGTCAACTATAAAAAGTTGAAAAATATAGCCAGTTAAAAGTTCCCATGATCTTAGCATGAAATCTTCAGCCACATGATATTTTTTACATCATTAATCCACTGATACACACTAAAACCACAGCCTAGTGCTAGCCAAAGTAATGAGGCCCAAAGTTGCTAGTGTAACTGGGGAGAATAGTTGCATACCACAGTTTATAGTACAGAGCAGTACATGATGTAATTGTATGCTACTATACAAACAGGTACACCAAAAAGATATATAAGGTATACAAACAGTAGGAGAGAAAGACAGTAAGATCTAGAATAGTAGAGGCAAGTATTGGGCAAGCGCTAGAAGCTGTGCAGTTTCCCTCAGTAAAAGACTGAAGGCAGAGGAAAATGTGTTACGTGGGGCAGGGAACAAAGGCATCACCATTTCCTTTCATTATAGTGACTACACATGAAACAGGTGATCCCAAAACAGAGTGATAAATGCTACAGTACAGCGCTCTTCTAAGGGTGCTAGTAAAACCCACATGAAGGACATCTCAACCGTGGAAGAAGTGCGAATTTAGAGTCAAAATTTATCCCAACATAAATTTAAAATGGAGGCATGCGCAGGAAAGAATTGCTAATTCGCAGATAACGTACTTTATTTGATACAGTAGACTGAAGCCAAGGGCTCTATCAGAGCTATTAAAAACCATTATGTTGATATAAATATTTATGTAAACCTTTTAAGGTCAATATAGCATTGGTACAATTTGTACTATTTAGGCAATGTTTAATTTCATACATACGATGCAGTTGACAGGGCATCTGTCTTTCAGCAGCAAAATTTTCACTATCACATAAAACTTAAAAAGTTCCCATTTAAATATAAATCAATATTAGTTGAGACAAGGCTTCCAGGCTTATTATATCTTCAGAAGAGAGGAAAAAAATATATTCATCTTCTGAAAAATTCTAATGGAATTATTTCTTACTAGTTCTATAAGTAGTCATTCATTTTATTTTTTTTTTAAATTTTTTTTCAACGTTTTTTATTTATTTTTGGGACAGAGAGAGACAGAGCATGAACGGGGGAGGGTCAGAGAGAGAGGGAGACACAGAATCGGAAACAGGCTCCAGGCTCTGAGCCATCAGCCCAGAGCCCGACGCGGGGCTCGAACCCACGGACCGCGAGATCGTGACCTGGCTGAAGTCGGACGCTTAACCGACTGCGCCACCCAGGCGCCCCACTAGTCATTCATTTTAAATTGAATTTGTTTTCAGGACTGTCAAATTTTTCAATCTACACATTAATAACTTGATAATTAAAAAACTGGCATGCATACCATTTGTTCCATAATGACAATTTGTTATTCTTTAATCAAAATAACAAATATTTTACAAATAAAAATGTTCTTAATAGAAATCCTTATTTTCTCCCCTCTGTATTTCATAGGGTAAATCAGGAGACATTAGAATTTAATATATTGTTAGAAGTAGTATGAAATCTTAAGTGTGCAAAATGTCAAAGCCTTAGACAAATGAGAGCCCCTAGAACAAAAGGTGTCGAAGCTTTATTATTCAAATATAAGTGATAAATGAAATTTAGAAGCTTTTTGGAAAAAATGATTTCCATCTCCATTTCAAACAGCTCTCAAAGCTTAATGCATGTCAGGGTTCATGTTCTAACATTTGGAATGGCACAAGGAAGTTCTTCTTCAATGCACAAATGAGCTAGCTGATTCATTTCTCCATCACTACATTACACAAGGTGGGCAGTTTTTCCTTCCCAGACTCACAGAGAAACTTCTGTAGATAAGATATTCTTCCAGACCTAGACTACGTGGTGGGGAGAGGGATCGTGGAATGAACTACCTCTGTCTGAAGGCCATTCGTGTGGAGAAGCAGATGCAAATGTCTTCCTTCGAACCAGAGTTAGGTGTACCACTTGCCCTGCGTTTCGTAACACTTCAACAACATCCTGGTTGGCAAAACCCTGAATATTGACACCATCAACCTAAAATGTTAAGAGACACATTAAACAGGAGCTTCAAGTTAGCTACTATTTTCAACTCTGACAAGGCAGAATAAAATCAGGCAACTCATTTTATGCCAAAACGAATTTGTATTAAAGCTAAGGAATTATTTTTGAATAGGAGGCAAAATTAGTAGTGAAACATGCTGACAAATGTCCTGAAAACCTACAGAGCAAATTCAAACTTGTAATTGAGAGTCACACATTTTAACTGACAGCCTGAGAGGGAAAAGGTCTTAGTCTCTTATGCTATTCAAAATTCAAAGTGCCTTCAAAGATAGTCAACTGTTAAACACAACTCTCAAGATGTACTAACTACAAGCCTGTATTATCAACATTGAAGAGGTCATCCAATACTTCATCCCTCTATCATATCATTATGTGGTAGTTTCCAGAAGAGATACACACATCTCCTCCCATTGGGTTTTCTAGTGCTGTGAAGAAGTATATGCAAGAAATGGATTTACTAATCTAAGTCAAGCCCAATTCCTCATTTCTGAAGTCCATCAGAACACACAGGCCTCATCTCCCACGCTGGCCAAACCATTACTTTTAGTTTTCCCTAGAAGTATTTTCTCCAAAGCATCCACTGCTTACTGCTTGACTCCATACCCTGCAAATCACAAGACGCTTCCTAAGCCAAGAGTCATGAAAGGTGCTTCCCTAGATGGACTTGAAGGATGAAGATTCATTTTTTTTTTTAATTTTTTTTTTTAACGTTTACTTATTTTTGAGACAGAGAGAGACAGAGCATGAACGAGGGAGGGTCAGAGAGAGGGAGACACAGAATCCGAAACAGGCTCCAGGCTCCGAGCTGTCAGCACAGAACCCGACGCGGGGCTCGAACTCACGGACCAACTCACGGACCGCGAGATCGTGACCTGAGCCGAAGTCGGCCGCTCAACTGACTGAGCCACCCAGGCGCCCCTGAAGGACGAAGATTCAAATGACACCAATGAACATTTGTTTCTATGTAAATCACTAAATTAAATGTGTGTGTGTGTGTGTGTATGCTTCAAAAATATTATTCAAATAAACTTTAAAATTTAACCAATTTCTACTAAATGAAGAAAGACCAGTCTGAATTGACAAAAGGTAATTATTATATTCTCCAATATATAAAATAGTTCTATTTTTTTTGTATGTATTCAAAATTACTTACGGTTAGTAGAAAAATTACTTTCATGAAGAGATAAAAAGATCTGGTTAATAGCCTATTTTGTGTGAAAAATGAGTGAGTTTAAAAAACACAGAGGTGCTTGAAAAGTCTTTCCTAGGGGCACCAGGGTGGCTCAGTCGGTTCAGTATCTGACAACTTCCGCTCAGGTCATGATCTTGCGGTTCATTGGTTCAGGCCCTGGGTCAGGCTCTGTGCTGACAGCTCAGAGCCTGGAGTCTGCTTCGGATTCTGTGTCTCCCTCTCTCTGCCCCTCACCAGCTCATGAGCATGCTCGCTCGCTCGCGCGCTCTCTCTCAAAAATAAATAAAAACATTTTTTTTTTTTAATTTTTTTTTCAACGTTTTTCATTTATTTTGGGGACAGAGAGAGACAGAGCATGAACGGGGAAGGGGCAGAGAGAGAGGGAGACATAGAATGGGAAGCAGGCTCCAGGCTCTGAGCCATCAGCCCAGAGCCCAACGCGGGGCTCGAACTCACGGACCGCGAGATCGTGACCTGGCTGAAGTCGGACGCTTAACCGACTGCTCCACCCAGGCGCCCCTAAAAACATTTTTTAAAAATTAAAAGTCTTTTCTAGAAGAATAGCAGACCATCTTTCAGATATATGTGTATATATATATATATTTTCTTCCTAATATGGTTATTGATTTGTTTCTTCACACACAATGAAAAACAAAAACAATAAGCAAACAAATTTAGAACCCCAAGAGTCCAAATCAATGAGATGACACTCAATTTTTTGAAACATTATGAGATTATGCGAAGCCATTCTCCTCTCACAAACATTATAATAAAGATAACTCCCCCCCGACCCCCCAAGTTGATTCCATTCTAAAACAGAGGACAGGTACTTACAGCAATTATTTTGTCATTCACTTGAATTTGGCCATTGTGGTATGCAGCACTGCCAGGTATTATACTTTTCACATAAATCCCTGAAGCCTCCCCTGAGGTGCACGAAAACATATGGAAAAAGGAAGAAAGCTCTAATTAGACCTTGATTGCAAAATTCATATCAAGAGGTTAATTAGCTACAGGGGCTGACTCGAGGCTTGATAAATACTATCTTGAACACAAGCAGGGAAATTGATGGATTATTTCAAACTGTCACCATCACGAGTGACCCGAATTTGAAATGATGTGACTGATGACTATTTCTGGAAAAATCATCAGTAATGGAACCTTGATGAAATGTGCTCTACCACCAACTGGAATTCAGGAGAGCCCAGGCAGTCTCAGCCTCTTCTCTTGGGCTGTCCCCCTTCTCCCTGCTGCCGCAGAGACCTCGTCACTTTTCACCAGCACTAAGACAAGAGTCTCCCTCCTACCTGGTCTTCCGGCCTACATTTAGTTCACTGTTAGCTTCCCAGATACGGAAAAGTACACATAGTGTTTTGTTTTGTTTTTTTAAGTAGAATCTTCACAATGTTACATAATCTTTATATTATAAAATATTTAAATAGAAACAAATGGCTATATAAAAATTACAACTGTATAAAAAGCATGCGTTCCTAGGGGCAAAGACTGGAGGAGAAACTGGAAAATGAAAACCATAACTCTGGATGATTTTGTACTTTTATTCTTTCATTTCAAATGAACTTAAAATATTGTCAATAGAAGAAAACTAAACACCAATGGATTCCTATTGCCTAAATAATCGTAAATTTCATAGACTCATACTCAAGGACCTCTATACTCTGCCCCAAATGTCTTTTTTTCCTTACATCCAACTACCATCCCTCCAACAGGACAAAAGTCCACACACACAAGACTTGAGATTTCACCAAAACACTAAGTATTGTCATGATGCTATCCCTTTTCTTATCGATTTTTTCTTCCTATAACCTCACCCCTTCTACTAAAATCCTTTTTCATGACTAGCGCAAATACCTTTCTTTGTGAATTCTTTATTTCATCAAATTTAATCTTTCAACTGTCATGATAGTTTGCTTAGATCTCTACTAAAACATATATTTCACTTATCCTTAAATAATTAAGAGTTACTTACATATTTCTTTCTGACTAGACTTTTCTTACATTCATTTTTCTATCCCTTTCAGAACTAAGTAACCCCCTCAAAAGTCCAATGAATGGAATAAAATGAATATTATTTTGAAAGACTACATGTTAAATAGCATGCTGAGTTTGAGTTTTTTGGGGTTTTTTAAATTTTTTTTTTAACGTTTATTTATTTTTGAGACAGAGAGAGACAGAGCATGAATGGGGGAGGGTCACAGAGAGAGGGAGACACAGAATCTGAAACAGGCTCCAGGCTCTGAGCTGTCGGCACAGAGCCGGACGCGGGGCTCGAACCCACGGACCATGAGATCATGACCTGAGCGGAAGTCGGATGCTTAACCGACCAAGCCACCCAGGTGCCCCTGAGTTTGAGTTTTTAAATGTTCTAGTTTTTGGATTTACCATTGCCCCCCGCCCAGTCTCTACAACTTCTTTTGAAGGTAAAGAAGGTAAAGGATTCTTTTCTTTATTCAGTAACATACACATCAGATTTTCTCAGTCTTCTATTATTCACTTTCATTTTACTCTGTGTGTGTATTGTTAACTTTGTAAGAACACTCTAAAAACTTAATAGAGTATTTGAGTCATAAGCCACAAGTTTAGGAACAAAGTCATGATTTCTTTAACCAGACAGCATATTAAGAGCTATTCAATATAGTTTTTTTTCCCCCCAACATTATTATACAATCCATACTTAGCTCTTTTGGAACTCATTTAAATTCTGAACCTAATAAAGGTGGCACTTAGAAAAATCTAAAGGTTTGAAAACAGTTATTTCATTAGGCTAAAATAGCACAAGGTGGCCTGACATGAATTTCATTCAGGACTTTGAATACATTAGCACTTTTAATCTTTCCACCTGCTGTAAGTATGCAAAATAAAAATTTTTTAAAAAAAATTAACTTTCTAATCTTGCTATTTTTTAAAAAACTAGAACATTTCATACCTCTGAATTCATGTTACTAGCAAATATTTGTGCAAAAAATTTATTTTACCTTACTCTAATGACTGCCTTATAATAACAGAGTAATTCGTACAGTGAAAGTTACCAAATCTTTACATGTAAGAGCTGAGGGAATGTTATTCAGAAATACTCGGGCCATGTATTTATTATTACAATAGAACCCTTTTATATGACAGGAAAATAATTCTAATCAAATAAATTGTTTTATATATATAGTGATTATACTAATACTTTTTTGACATTTATAATATGAAATACAGTAATCTTTTTATTTTATCACATCTAAAGTGTCGTAATATGTAACAGTCACAATATTTTAAATATATTTAAGAAATAAAAGAAGGTACAATTCAAATGCTATATGATGAGTTGGATAATTAAATCCTTGTTAATGAAAATCAAGTCAGCTATAAAACTACTGAGATAAAACTGTAATTCTCTAATCACTGAAAAGTAACTGGTTGCCACTAAAAATACACGGTTTATTGTTCACTGTTTAAATTAAAGTCTGCAGATAGTTAATTTTACTATCTAGAAACCTTAACATCCTTTACAATTATTTCCAAATACAAAATGGAAATGATTCATTTACCTGTATGAGGAGTTCCAATATACCCAACAATTCTAATTCCAAGACTTTGTCCATCTTTTTTAATGAGTTCAACATCATAAGTTTCAAAAAGAGAACTGTCCTAAAAAAAAGAGAGAGAACTGTCTTAAAAGGAAAAAAAACTTTTTAATGATATATATTTAGTTCCATAACTGTGTACACAGTCAATTTGTGCATGGTTTGTCAAGTATTTTTTTAGCACCTGTGGCAGAGAGAATCTTAAGATGGTCCCCATGATTTTTGATTCCTGGTGCTATTCCTGTGTTTATGTTTCAGTATGTGGCAAAAAGACGACTATCCAGGTGCATCTAATCTAATCACAGACCCTTTAAAAGCAGTTTTCTGGCTGGCAGCAGAAAAGGAAGTGACAAAGATTTGAAGTATAAGGGCTGGACTTGTGGTCTGAAGATGAAGAGGTCCTATGAGAAGTTCCACGGGGAGCCTCGAGGAGCTGAGAGGGCCTCAGCTGACAGCCAGCAAAGAAAAGAGACTTCAGTCCTACAGATGCAAGGAGCTGTTTTCTGCCAACAGTCTATATGAGCTTAGAAACAGACTGTCCCCAGAGCATCCAGATAAGAGTCCGGCAAGCCCTTGATTTTGGCCACACAGGAATCTAAGTAGAGAACCCAGCCCATCCTACCCAGACTTCTGAACTGCACAACTGTGAACTAACAAAGCATGTTGTTTTAAGCCACAAAGTTTGTGATAATTTGTTACACAACAACAGAAAACTAATAACAGCCACTTAGAAAAAAAAAACTCAGGATAAATTTTTATCTAAAAGAACCAAATGTAGGGGTGCCTGAGTGGCTCAGTTGGTTAAGCATCCAACTTCGGCTTAGGTCATGATCTCAAAGTTCCTAAGTTCGAGCCCCGCTTCGGGTGAGCCTCGCTTCTCTCTCTCCCTCTCTCTCTCTCTGCCTCTCACTCACTTTTACCCTCCCTCTCTCAAAAAATAAATAAAAAAGAAACAAATGTAAAGAAAAATTTTGAAACAAATGCTAAGAATTATTGTGAATAATAATTGTGAGCAAAAACTGTCGACCTAGAACCTTTTCTCATTACTTGTCTTCTAATTTAAAATAGTTCTGGGGCGCCTGGGTGGCTCAGTCAGTTAAGCGTCCGACTTCGGCTCAGGTCATGATCTCACGGTCCGTGAGTTTGAGCCCCGCGTCGGGCTCTGTGCTGACAGCTCAGAGCCTGGAGCCTGCTTCAGATTCTGTGTCTCCCTCTCTCTCTGACCCTCCCCCGTTCATGCTCTGTCTCTCTCTGTCTCAAAAATAAATAAACATTAAAAAAATTAAAAAATAAATTAAAAAATAAAATAGTTCTTTAAAAGAATAAAGTGTCTAAAAACATGATCCGATTCAAAACGCTAACAGGAGAAAGGAAACGGGTGATTGCATCAAATTCTCACTTATCACATAGCTACATTGATCCCAACTACTGAATTGGGAGGCTCAAGAGAGCTAAAGTTATGGAAGGAAAGAAAGTGGCTGTAACCAGTCTGGGGAGGAAAACAAAAATGATGCTAACATCTCCGACAGAAAACTTCCAGCGACAAGATGCTGAAGAGGGAGAGGCCAACAACTTCGTAGAACAGCCCCTCGAATGCAGATGAATGACGGTCTTCCACTTCTTCCCACCAAAATCACTTCTCCTTCTTTCTTCCATGGCCCCTCCTTTTAAAAACGATTTCTCTCCATTTGCTTTATTACCCCTTGATTCAGAGCCTGTGTGATGGTTGGAAAGGGTTTGGAAAGGACCAGAAAGACCTGAATTCAAATCCCAGCTTCAACTTACTATATGATTGTTTTTATACGTTTATTATTTTTTTAGGGCCAAAAAAAGCACAAGTTGGGGACAGGGACAGAGGGAAATAGAGAATCTGAAGTACGCTCCACACACAGCACAGAGCCCAACCCATGCCCAATCCCATGACCCTGGGATCATCACCTGAGCCGGAATCAAGAGTTGGATGTTCAACCTATTGAGCCACCCAGACACCCCTCACTTTATGACTTTTAATGAGTAATTTGGACTTCGGTTCCTTCATGTATTGCAATCTTCTCTTTTTTTAATTTTTTTTTTTTTTAGTATTTATTTTTGAGACAGAGAGAGACAGAGCATGAGCAGGGGAGGGGCAGAGAAACAGGGAGACACAGAAGCAGGCTCCAGGCTCTGAGCTGTCAGCACAGAGCCCGACGCGGGGCTTGAACTCACAGACTGTGAGATCATGACCTGCGCTGAAGTCGGACGCTTAACCGACTGAGCCATCCAGGCGCCCCTGCAATCTTAATGAAAGATTAAGACCTATCTTGCAGAATTCCTGTGAGGATTTCAGATGACCTCAACAATTCTAGGTGTTTGATGATAATAATAATGATTATTATAACAAATATTATTTATTTCCTTTGGTCATTCTGTTCCTATCTGTAGTAACTCATACACTGACCAATATTTAGTTTCCCCTCCAATACATGGATGCCTCAACACCACTCTAATGAAGTAATAATGACAAGTACTAGGACTTCTGGCTGGCTCAGTTGGTAGAGCATGCAACTCTTGATCTCGGGGTCATGATTTCAAGCCCCATGTTGGGTTTGAATCTTACTTTAAAATAAAATTTAAGGGGTGCCTGGTTAAGCATCCAACTTCAGCTCAGGTCATGATCTCACAGCTCATGGGTTCGAGACCCGCATTGGGCTGTGTGCTGACAGCTCAGAAACTGGAGCCTGCTTAGGATTCTGTGTCTCTGTCTCTCTCTGCTCCTCCCCCACTCGCACTCTGTCCCTCTCTCTCAAAAATAAGCAAACATTAAAAAGGAATTTTTTTAAACAAACTTTTAAAAGTTTTTTAAAAGCCTTTATTTAAGAAAAAGAAATGGCAAGTACTATTATTTTCCAATTTACAGAGGAGTAGCTGAAGCTCAGGGAGGCTGAATGACTTAACCCTGAGACACAGCAACAAAGAAAATCAAACTTATCTAAGGTCTCTTAGCAGGGTTCTTCTTAACTTCCTTGGGGACACTACTCACAATCGTTGGCACTCTGAGTTGAAGGGATTTCTAATCTTGCAGGATCTCATATCCAGTATTTAAGATTAAAGAATGGTTTGTATACTCACAACACTAGGGCTCCTGTTGGCTACAGCAGGCAGGGCTACGGGTAAGGCTGCAGGGGGGGGAGGGGTTTCAGAAATTTCACCAACTGGGTCTCTTGCAACAAGCATCCTGACTGAATTCCCACAGTTCCTTAGTACTTGGGCAACTTGCTCGCTGGTCATTCCCTGCACATCTGTGCCACCAATCTTCAAGATGTGGTCCCCTGTCTGGAGTCTTCCATCCTTTAATTCAAGAAAAAAACAAAATTCAGCCAATCTGGAAAACAGTATGGAGGTTCCTCAAAAACCTAAAAATACAACTACCCTACAACCCAGCAATTGCACTACTAGGCATTTATCCAAGGGATACGGGTGTGCTGTTTTGAAGGGATGCATGCACCCCAATGTTTATAGCAGCACTATCAACAATAGCCAAAGTATGGAAAGAGCCCAAATGTCCATCGATGGATGAATGGATAAAGAAGATGTGGTTTATATATACAGTGGAGTATTACTCAGCAATCAAAAAGAATGAAACCTTGCCATTTGCAACTACATGGATGGAACTAGAGGATATCATGCTAAGCGAAATTAGAGAAAGACAAATATATTACTTCACTGATATAAGGACTTTAAGACACAGAACAGATGAACACAAGGGAAGGGAAGCAAAAATAATATAAAAACAGGGAGGGAGACAAACCATAAGAGACTCTTAAATACAGAGAAGAAACTGAGGGTTACTAGGGGAGAGGGGGTGGGGGGAAGGGCTAAATGGGCAAGGGGCATTAAGGAGGGCACTTGTTGGGATGAGCACAGGGTGTTATATGTAAATGATAAATCACTAAATTCTATTCCTGAAATTATTACACTGTGTTAACTTGGATTTAAATTAAAGAAAAATAACAATAATAAAAAAATATTCTAAGAAATCAACGATCTAACTTCACTAGCTAATAACAATTCATCAGACTTTCAATTCTGGCAAAATGGCTGACAAAGAAGCCATCTATAAAACGTTAAATAAAACATAACAGTCTTAATGAATGCTGAACTGGCAACAGAGAAAAGGAAATCTTTGCCAAAAAAAAAAAAAAAAAAAAAAAAAAAAAAAAAAAAAAAAAAAAGATGGGGTGGAGGATGTGTTCAAAAGGAGAATAGTATCTAGAATTCTAAAACAGTCATTTATTTGCTCAAGGGCATCACTTCATGCCTGATGGCTTGGAGCCAGGGTATTAATGGCCACAAAAGTAAGGAAGAGATCAGAAAGCCCTGGGCCTCAAGAAGGGAAGGAGCTTGGATCAGAAGCCTCCAGCATAAAGCTAGAAACTCTCAAGGCCAGAAAACTCAGTGGCATGTGTAAGGATGAGCGAGATATCAGTGTAGCTGGAAGAGAATGAGCAAAGAGGAGAGTAGTCAGGAGGAGAAGAGAGCATTAACTGAGGTCAGCAGTGCAGAGCATTTACTCGGAGCCAATGGGAAGGGAAGTCACTGAAGTGTTCTGAAAGAGAAGTGACATTATCTGACTTACTTTTAACAAGATCCTCAAGCTTCTGTGCTGAAAATAGACTACAGGAGAGGAAGCAACAGAAGCAGAGATACCAGTTAGTAGACTAAAGCAGCAATCTAGAGATAGTGGTAGCCTACAGACTGGGTTAGCAGTTGGAGTGTTGAGAAGTGAGATCCTAGATGTATTCTTAATGAACTTTCAACAGACCCTACTGATAGTTTCTACAGGAGGTGTGAGGGGACAAAAGGACTTAAAGCTCCAAGGTTTTAGCCTAAGCAACTAAAAAGACAGAGCTGCTATTAATGGAGATAGAGGACTACAGAGCAATGGATGGGTGGGAGTAGGAATGAGGAGTTTTGGAGATAGCCAGTCTGAGATCCTATTAGACATGCAAGTGAAAATGTCAAATATGCAGCTGGATATACAAATTTGGAGTTCAGGAGAAAAGTCCAGACCACAGAGTTAAATTTAGGAGTCATTAGCATATATAAAGTCAGGATTCTGGATGAATTTAAAGCAAGGATATGTGATGTTCCATTTCTTTTATTTATTTATTTTTTTTTGAATGTTTATTTTTGAGGGACGTCTGGGTGGCTCAGTCAGTTAAGCATCTGACTTCAGCTCAGGTCATGATCTCGCTCAGGTCATGATACCGCAGTTTGTGAGTTCGAACCCCACGTTGGGCTCTGTGCTGACAGCTTGGAGCTTGGAGCTTGCTTCGGATTCTGTGTCTCCCCCTCTCTCTGCCCCCTCCCATGCTCATGCTCTGTCTCTCAATAATAAATAAAAGTTAAAAAAAAAAAAAGAAAAAGAAAAAAATGTTTTTTTTTTTAATTTATTTATTTTTGAGAGACAGAGAGACACAGAGCACAAGCAGGGGAGAGGCAGAGAGAGAGGGAGACACAGAATCGGAAGCAGGCTCCAGGCTCCGAGCTGTCAGCACAGAGCCTGACGCGGGGCTTGAACTCACGGACCGTGAGATCATGTCCTGAGCTGCAGTCAGACACTTAACCAACTGAGCCACCCAGGTGCCCCGAAAAAATAAATATTTAAAAAAATAAAGTAAAATGTTTATTTTTGAGAGCATGCACACACACGCACACCAGTGGGGGAGGGGCAGAGAGAGGGAGACAGAAGATCCGAAGCAGGCTCTGTGCCAACAGCAGAGAGCCCTATGTGGGGCTTGAACTCATGAACCTAAAGATCATGACCTGAATCACAGTCACATGCTTAACTGACTGAGTTACCCAGAAGCCCCTGTGACATTCTATTTCTTAAACTAAGCGATATGTACATCGGTGATTATTTCATTACTTAAAACGTGCACAGCCATCATACATACTTCCTATGTACATTTTTCTATGTGTGTATCTCATGCACAGAAAAGTTTAAAAGAATAAAAAAGCACATCAGTTCAAAATGTTTAACATTTCCATTCTACCTCCAACTGTGAAATTCTTGAAACAGCAGACCCATCTGCATTTTGTTTCATTGGAAATTTTGAATTCTCTTTACTTATCTTTACTACATTAAAGATACCAAAATTTAACACATAGTTGGTTACAAAAAATTATACCTGCAAAATACCTTACAGGTCGAAAATCACTTTTCATATATCATCTCATTCAGAGAGGGACAACTTTATAATTTTTAAAGTTTATTTTATTTTATTTTGAGAGAAACAGAGACAGTGCAAGTGGGACAGGAACAGGGAGAGACAATCCCAAGCAGGCTCTGCACTGATGGTGCAGACTGTGATGTGGGGCTTGAACCCATGAACCGTGAGATCATGAGCCAACGCCAAGGGGCAGATGCTTAACCGACTGAGCCACCCAAGAGCCCCTGAGGGGGACAACTTTAAAGATGAACAAATGGAGATTCAGAAAGGTTGACTGACTTGACCAAGGTCATAAAGCTAATAAGAGAACCTAGGTTCAACCCAAGCTGTCCCAGTGAAGACCAGTTCTCATTAGTCCTTTATCTTACACTTCAATATCTTCAAAGTGACACTAGTAGATCAATTTACTGCTTTCCTGTTCTCCAAGAAACTGTAACTGTCAAAAAGCTTCAGTGAAATGAAGATGAAAAGTAGGTATTTTGCAACTGGGAGAGAAAGACAGCCTGAGAATAGAGCAATGACCATCAGGCTTGTGCAGTACTAGGCTTCATATTCCTGGCTCCAGAAGGCACTATCTGTAAGGTATAGGTGAAATTCAGAAGAAAAAAGTAAAAACAAAACAAAAAAAATCTTAAGACTAAAAAGTCTATTCCCCATCCTTCCTTTTGTCCAATTTTGCAGAAACTTGGATGAAGGTATTAGATCAAAAGAATGAGTTGGGACGCCTGGGTGGCTCAGTCGTTAAGCATCCGACTTCGGCTCAGGTCATGATCTCATGGTTTGTGAGTTTGAGCCACACGTGGGTCTCTGTGCTGACATCTCAGAGCCTGGAGCCTGCTTCAGATTCTGTGTCTCCCTCTCTCTCTGCCCCTCCCCCACTTGTGCTCTGTCTCTATCAAAAATAAATAAATGTAAAAAAAAAAAAAGAATGAGTAAAAAACTATGGGCTTTGTTTTGAAGTCAAGAAAAGGCCCTAGAAGCGAATGGAAAAGGAGAAGAGGAGGAAAAGAGAAACGCAATTCAATTTAGAAACTCAGAAAAAAAGAAGATGCAAAGAGCAAAAAAGAATTGGTGGATTTCTGGGGCGCCTGGGTGGCTCAGTTGGTTAGGTGTCCGACATTGGCTCAGGTCATGATCTCACAGTTTGTGGGTTTGATCCCCATGTCGGGCTCTGTGCTGACAGCCCAGAGCCTGGAGCCTGCTTCAGATTCTGTCTCGCTCGCTCTCTCTCTCTCTCTCTCTGCCCCTCCCCTGCTCATACTCTATCTTGCTCTCTCTCAAAAACAAAAACAAAACAAAAATTAAAAGAAATGGTGGATTTCTATTTTAAGCACTGATAATTTTGATATTCTATCAATGTAACAACTTGAGATAAAGCAAATACTCAAGAAGAAGTCAGTGCTTATGATGAAAAACAAGGGTGAAGCGGCCTCTGTAAATCAAACCATCCTTGAACAAAATTATGGCTGGGCCAAAGAATAAAGAATTTGTCAAATAAGTGTTTTCATACTTGGCTAAAGAAGGGCACTTCACCATAAGTACATATTTAGTTACTTCCTTAGGCACTATTTTTTTCCCTATTTTACCTCAATTCAATTTAAAATGATGTAGATAATTTGCATCTGTCACTGAAAGTCAAACATTTTCTTCTTCCAGAAAAACAGGTGTTCTAAGGAATTCATAAGCGCAAAAGCAATCATCAGTCAGATTGATAGGAAAGACACCAAAATGACAGCTACCTTGTTTAAGTCCTGAAGCTGTAAGCATTACATTTTACTGATATTTTCTGATCAACATTCTCCTTCCATAACCTGTCTACTGTGCAAGGAAAATAAAAGGCATAGAGTCCTTTCTTTTCTTTAACAGAAATCATAAATCAGTGATAGCCAATAAATAGCTATGCCAACATTCAAAGACAGGGTGTTGGGGTGCCTGGCTGGCTCAGTGAGTGGAGTGTGTGACTCTTGATCTAGGGGTTGTGAGTTCAAGCTCCACATTTGGTGTGGACATTACTTTAAAAATAAAAATACACAGAGCATGCTAATCAAACATTCAAGTATAAAAATTTATTAACCCATGGGTTCTTTCACAAGAGAAAAATAATTATGCATATAG